CATGATCAGAGTTAATTTAACACTTTTAGATAGTTGGCCCAGAGTCACATCAGCTGTGTGAGCCGAAGAAACAACTCTCATATCAACGCTTGTCAGATCCAAATAATTAACGCCGAAACATCAACGCGTGTTAACGCTGAAAAATGGGGAGCAAGCAGCTCAGAGGCTGACAGTTGTTAGGCTTTTTAAAACTGGCATTATAGATCATTTAACCCTCTGATCCCCAAAATTAGGTTTAAAAGGCATGTTGTAGAAGAAAACCTGCAAAATCAACATTAATCAAACATTATTCAGAGCCCAAACCTGTAAATACAGAGAGAACCATCAGATTACCACGATTAAAATCTGGATACTTTCATTCTACGTGTCTCTTTAAAAATATCTGTCAAAAATCAACCATTTCCTCGACCAAGATTCTGTAAAAAATAAAAAATGTTGGGCTCCTCGTCACTATTGTGAAGCCATGAGTCACTAAACTGCAACCAACAGTCATGTGACACATATTCAGGGAATTTTTAGCTGCAGACACAAGAAAGATAGCAGATGAGTACTGAAAGGAATCAAACATTTAAGTAGAATTTAAAAATATAGTCAGTAGAGTCATATGTTTCTCCTGGGGACTCAACAACAACAATGTTGAACATTTTGATTCCAGATGTTTTTAATATTTGTGAAAGTAAATCATCAAAGATGCTCAACTTTTGTTTTTGTAAGCAAGCAAGGAAGTAAACAAGGAAGTAAGCAAGCAAGTAAACAAGGAAGTAAGCAAGCAAGTAAATAAGGAAGCAAGTAAATAAGCAAGTCAACAAGCAAGTAAGCAAGCAAGGAAGTAAACAAGGAAGTAAGCCAGCAAGCAAGTAAGCAAGTAAACAAGGAAGTAAGCAAGTAAACAAGGAAGTAAACAAGGAAGTAAGTAAACAAGGAAGCAAACAAGGAAGCAATCAAGTCAACAAGCAAGTAAGCAAGGAAGGAAGTAAACAAGGAAGTAAGCAAGCAAGCAAACAAGGAAATAAGCAAGCAAGTAAGTAAGCGAGCAATCAAGTAAACAAGGAAGCAAACAAGGAAGCAATCAAGTCAACAAGCAAGTAAGCAAACAAGGAAGTAAACAAGGAAGCAAGCAAGAAAGCAAGCAAGTAAACAAGGAAATAAGCAAGCAAGTAAGTAAGGAAGCAAGCAAGTAAATAGGCAAGGAAGTAAACAAGGAAGCAAGCCAGTAAACAAGGAAGTAAACAAGTAAGCAAGCGGCACAGCTTTCTTATATTGCAGTGAAAATTGAACCCACAGGGAGCAAAACAAACTGCCAGAGGAACCCCAGATAGGGTCACATATTGTGCACCTCTGATGTCTTACTTCAGCAGTTTATAGCAACACAGGTGATTATTTCATATAGTTTTATGAGCAAATGTGGCATTTAAAGCTGCTGAAGTCTTGCAAACTAAACGTACAGTGTGTGAAGATGAAAAAGCGCAGCACTAATTCTGGTTCTGCCGTCCAGGCCGTCATCATGACAGTACAGCTGTAGCTGAAGTGTTGCTATACAGCTATTCTAATCAGGTCAGTGGATCGTTCCACTTCCTCCATTTTTTTTTTTTTTTCCCAGCTGAGTGATCATTTATTCCTTCAGAGTGAAACAATCCTTTAAAATCTGCAGCCTTTGAAGTCTGTCTGATGGCGGCTGTTGCGTTCGGTATCCTCTCCGCAGATCAGCGCAGCATCGCAAAATCCACAGGAGAGGATGCGAGAGGATATGAGTTTCCACACACAGCTGAGCAGAGAGACGAATTGCAGCAGCAAAAAAAAAAAGAGCACAAAGACTGAATTCACGAAGGAGGAGAGGCAGGGGGGAGGGGGCGGCGGTGGAAAGAATAATGATGGAGACAATGAGCGGGGAGATGATGAGGGAAGCAGATGAAAGATGGGATGATGAGGCTGACGATGATGAGATGAAAGTAGCAGTTTTTTGGGGGGAATAAGAGGCGAAGCCGGGGAGCCGAAGGAGGAGAAGTTTACAGTGGCTTCCTGCAGAAAAATGGCTCCGGCTCCCCATCGCAGTAAATCATGTCACTTGGCTACATCCTGTCTGTTCTCAACTTCTCACCAGCCTGAAGGCGATAAACAGGCCCGCCGCCTTATTGGAAACAGATGTTGTGAATGGGAGAGAGACAAAGAAAGAGAGAGAGAGGGAGAGGAGAAGTGGATGGAAACGCCTGATAAAGTTCTCTGGATCAGCGGCCTAATGAGATCAAACTGGTTTCGGGTCGGCCTCCAGGAAAACAGACACAGAGATAGAGCTGGACTCCTGCCAGGACACTTGGCTTCCTGAACACGTTAGAAACCGATGGTGTAATCACATCGACAATCTGTTTTCTATACGCTCAACTGCAGTAGGAAAAATCAGTCTGTGGTGTGATTCACTTCTAAACAAGTTAATATAGAATGACAGGAATGGAAAGCATGTCATCGTCTCGCAGCGTTTTAATCTGAGTCCGGCTCCTGTTGCTTTAAACCTTAAAACCCACCAGCAGGTTTGAAAGGCATGTTGTCTTTCCCAAAATCACCAAAACTACACCATTTATCAGAGCTAGAAATGAGAAAAACTGAAGGAATTTACTTATATTCAACATACAAATGACCACCTTTATTAAATCATTATATTTTATGTCTCTTTTTTTTTTTTTTTTAATGCCAAAAATGAACCATTTGCACTAAACAGATTCTGTAAAAAACCTAAAAATTCTCGGTTCCTCTGTGCAACCATAAAGCCATTAATGACTCAGCTGTGATCAACAGTCTCATAATAAGAAATCTGGGACTTTTCAGCTGAACTGCAGGCAGTGTCATTTAACTTTGTCATACTCCAGAGAACATATTTCCTATATCTTTCTACTTCCAGCCATGTTTGTGCCGTTTCTGTAGAAGTACAGGACTTTATACTGCAGTGATGATACACAATAAGACACCTGAATGTGTCCCGGATTTGTCCTCTGTTTGGTTTGTCCTGTTTGGGTTTTCATGCCTGAGGAACTGATGTTATCGATGTCAACATTTATCCCTATTAATCCTGTTTACTGCACATAAAGGCCTGGCTATACAACCTTTTAGGTGTTATCCATCGGCTCTAAAGCCACATTAAAGACGTAAACACCCTTCAGATCTTATTCTGTTTAGACAAATTAGTTAAACAAGCCCTCTGTTTGTAAAAGCAGCACATGTAGCAGAGTAGAGAGCGGAGTCGAGCGGTGTCTGCTTACTAATCTGCGAATTAATGGAAAGTTAATAACCAACAACCTTATAAGTTTTCCTTTTTACTATAACGCTAGCATAACTCTGTCCCTGATAACTGTCAAGTAACTTAAGTTAACACAACATCTGCTTGGGAGGTAGCTAGCCCGTTTGTTAGCCGGCTAGCTCTGTTGGGTGTTGACCTTATCACCTTATTTTTAAGATGCAACGCTGGAAAGTAATAAACAACGTACTCATCTTTAACTTTCCTAAGAAAAACAAATTCTTAGCTTGCTACATGAACTAGCTCGCAAACCACGTAGCTATTTTCACAGCTTTTCAGTTGGGCGGCGGCTAATGTGTTAGCATCAAACCCATTCTCCCTTTACATTAGAACATTAATAGAAGTCTAATTAATGCTAATATTACATGTAGTACGTCTGCCAAACTAAACAATTCCACAACAACAATTCATTGCTTTTAGAAAAGCTAAAATTAAATAAAAATAAATGTAATATTCATGGATATTAATGTATTTGGAATACAATATAAAACAGGACATGGACCATAAACTGGGATGGTTCTACCTAAGACATATAAAAAAAACAAAAAAACATCTGTCTGATTCAGTTTTCTTATATTTGTTTATGTAAAATATGTTAGTGTGTATATATATAAAATTGGTCAGTGAATCAATATTGGAACTCAGCCCCAAAAATACAGTATTGGTCCAGTTTTAGTTTTCTAGTTTTGGCAAGTTTCTGCTGAAAATGCATTCTGGGCCTCACCAGCAACACCAAGAAAACCACAAACTGAGAACTGCTGAAGCCAATACAAAGATTTTTTTTATATTTAAACTCTCACCCTGTTGTGTGAATTAAAACTTTTTATTTTTAAACATTTTCAAGACCACTGTGGTTGTGTCTGATGCTCTTACACCCTCCGCGCTGCTGAAAATCTTAATCTCAGTGGGATTACATGGTGAAATAAAGCCAGTTTTTTTCTATAAACTGTGCCAAAACGCTGCTCTTCCTGCAGCATGCCTGCACATCTACACAACAACAATTGTTCCTCTGTGTTTTTAAAGCCTGTCCAGCCTGTTTAATCCACAGTGGCAGCGGATCACTCCCTCTTAATCCAATCAGCATCAACTCTCACATGAGTACCTGACATGGGGAGGATGAGGTGAGCGTTTAAACTGAGCCACAGGCCTGAAAATTTAACTGGGAAACAGGAAAAATGCGCAAATCTTGAACAAAAAAATAGATTTTTGTTCACATTAAAGTCACTACAAAAAGTGTAGCACTGCAGGAAAGAGGTAGAAAGTGAATATTTTAAGGGAAAATGATTCAAAGTGTGAAATCTTCATTGCTCGTGTTCCTGTTCCAACACACACAGCACAGGACTACGTGCGTTTTTCTTTTTCTGCACGCGTCCCGCTCATGGCGCACGGAGCGGATTTGGCACGCGTACTGGAATTGCGCACAAAAAAGTGAAACTGAGCACGCAGGGACAAAAGAGTGCGAAAGAAAATGAGAGTGAGGCGGTGAAAGTTAACAGACTGAGCCGCTTTCACACGTTCGAGCCTTTAAACTGATTAGCAGACATGCAAATTAAGAGTCTATCACGCCGACGACCGCGGTGCGTCACACGCAGCGCGCAAAGGTCCCCGCGGCATCCACATGCAAAACACACACATGCAAAGCGCCTTATTCTTTTATTTTCTGAGGTTAAAGTATGAGTAAAAACAAGGGAAATGAAAAGAATAGTTTTCCTACCCATGTTTCAGCTCCTGTGGAAACTGGCCCTGAGACAAAAGTGACTGAGATGATGTCCACAGGTTGCCTGAGGAGGAGGAGGAGGAGGAGGAGGAGGAGGAAGGGGCGCAAACAACTGGACGTCCCGCTTAGGAATCAGGGAGGGAGGAGGGGTGACGTCAGTGCTAGAGGAGGAGGGGGGTAGAGACATGGATCAGACTTCAGTAATCCAAACGCACAAGACAGCTTTGAAGTGCAACAACAATACAGCATGTTTTCTACTCAGATGCATGTGTTCTCGGATTTTCTCGCGATGTTTATTTTTATTTTTTGCACATACATTTCCATGCAGCCTTCTATGAATTCTGTGCCATCCTGCAATAATCTAATGCACAACACTGCAATGTTGGATTACAATAAACTAATGCACAACAATACTCTAATGTCTTTTTTTTAAAAACACAAACTAAGGATTATTTTTTCCAACACACTGAATGGACGTCATCAAACTATTGGAAACGACAATGTGCAGATGGAAACTGGAGACCAGATATCACAAGTCAGGATCGAGCTACTGAGGCTGTTGATGCTTCTTGTGAAGTGTTGTTCCTGAAGGACTCGGGGAAGCTGACATTTTTGGAATCACATCAAATGGTTTCTTAGATGACAAATTGCAGAGTTGTGGATTCAAGTGCCTGACTACGGCCCGAACATGAAGCATCCAGCAGTCTGGTCTTGTCTTTTTTTTTAGTTATCTGTAGCACGGTGCAATTTGAATAACGCTGCATTTTAAGGCCTTTTATAGTCAGGGGTCAAAGGAGTGTCTGGTCACACTATCCAAACAGTCTAAGGTGTAAAACAACTCAACTTGAACAGCTCAAAACCTTTTTGCGAACAGAAGGCTGTACATATTCAAGATATTTTACGACTTATATTTTAGTTTCCATGCTTGTCTCCTGTCTGCTCCGTGTAAACACTGCCTGCAATTCAAATTAAAAGTTCCCGAATTGTTGTCACATGACTGCAGGTTGCAGCTGAGTGACTAATAGTTTTTTAGTTGTGCCAAGCGGTGGAGAATTTTGTCTTTTACAGAATCTGGTTGATGCAAATTGTTTATTTTGAAATTTTAACGTGATTAGGTTCATTTTGTCTCCTCTGATTTTTGGTATAAGGTTTCGTTTTTTGCTCATACTTACAAATTGCTACGACACAGTGGACAAGAAAAGCTTCATTTGACTTTAAAATAACACTTGACAGTCAAATGAAAACCTGAAAGAGATGTTAAAAAAGTGTAAATTGAATTTAAATGCACATATGTCCCAGTTTTTGAATGTAGAAAGCAGTTATGTAATTGGATTCACCAAGAAATCCTCACTGACAAAGCAGGTTTTAGACTTAAAATACTTTATTACAAACAGAATATATATTAAAATACACATCTAGTCCAAAACAAATGCTGCAGAGTGGTGCAAACACAAGATAAAAGAGACGAGTCGACGCCCCTCCGGAGAAAGCAACACGAACGCCTTTGAACGCGGTGAAATGTCAGAATAAGAGCGGCCCGGTTTGGAAGCGACGACGGCGAATCGCTCCTCTTGTGTGTTCAGAAGTGGAATATCAGGAGCAGCCATGCAGGAATCTGAGCAGACGAGGAGGCTGGGAATGTTTTTTTGTGGTTAAACTAAGTTGACAGGCATAAGAGGAGCTACTGCAGCATGAAACATCGCCGAGCTGGAGGGTAAACAAAAACAGATTAGGAGGAAAGGCGCAGGCACATGTTGTTTGAGCGTGTTTACATCAGCGACGGGGGCAGGTTTACTGTAAGCCTGACCCCCCGCTCACACTCATTCTTGCTTTTTGGTGCTCCTCACCTTAAAATCAATACGAGTGTTGGATGCACTAAGTTCTGTCAGAGCCAGAGGAGATGAAGCCTTAAATGTAACATCACAGCCATAGGTTTCCACTCGGAGCAGCAGCTGACAGGTCAGTGACATTCGCGTCTGGCTGAGCAGAAACTCGGCTAATTTATGCAACTTTTTTTGTGCTTAAAATAACTTCTTACACTCAGTTAACCCGAACCATTACTTCTACATCAGCAGCTCCCAACAGCCGCGATCCGTTACGCGACAAAGCTGCTGCCTCTCTGAGAAACCCGAGCAGGGATCTCCTCCAGATCCAGCGGCTCTGCCCACAGCTGTCACAGCTTCAGCGGGATGACCGGCCAGTACTTCGGCTGCTTCCGGTCGCAGTTTCTGTCGAACGTCAGCTGCATCGCCGCCTCCATGGCCGAGATCTTGGCCGCGTCCTCGCCGTACAGCTTCTTCATCTCGGCGGCGCGCCTCTCGCCGGGTCGCTCGGAGGGAGGAGCGACGCTGCTTCGCCAGGAGACGCCGCGCAGGTCCCGGTCGGCCGGCACGTAGCCGTCCTGCTGCTCGGCCTCCATCTGCTGCTGCTTCTCTGTAAAGACGCCACAACAGGATATTTATAGACGCACAGCAGACAGTGTCTTCACCTCACACTGTTTTTTTATGACAAATAATTATGACTGTGCATCCATCAGCAAAGTAATGTATCACGAGTCCTCCAAACAGTGAAGAGACTTTTTACTTTAAAGACGTACTGCAGCCCTCAAAGTCGTCTCACACAGTATGTATACAATTAGGACAGACTACTTTATCATTACATTGCACCTTAAGCATTAACCGTTGCAGTCTGTCATGTAAAATGAGCCGTCAGCTGTCTGTGTGCTTCAGAGGATTGTGGGTCAAACTGGCCAGAAAAGCAAAATCCTAACAGACATAGTAGAACATCAGGTATTGTTGCATACCACGAGGTGTGTCAGAAAAGTTCCAGGACTGGTGTCACAAAAGATATATTTCAAGTGCAAACTACAAGTTTTCCCCTTCGCAGTGATCTAACTGGAGTCTAACCCACTTCCCCAGCCTCCTCTTCACGCCGCCATGCACTCCTGGAAGGATTCTTCTGAGATCCTCCACAGCTCCATCGTCACAGCCATCTTGACGTTGTCTTCTAAGCGGGTCCCCTTGATGACCCCCTTGGGGAAAAATTCCCACGGAGCCAGGTGGGGTGAGTAGGGAGGTTGCTCCAGCACGGAGATGTTCTTCTCAGCCAGGAACTGTGGGATGCTCAGGGCGTTGTCATGGTGAAGCAGCCACGACTGGTCCTACCACAACTCTGAATGAAGCAAACGCTGCAGGATCTCTTTGTAGACGTGCTGGTTGATCGTCTGAAGGTGTGACACCAGTCCTGGAACTTTTCTGACACACCTCGTATTGTGTTTTGGGACATACTAAACCTTTATCTGGTGCACTCATACATAGACTAGTAGTATGGATATTAGACCCCATCTTCTAGGCCTGGGCGATAAAATGTTAGCAATATTTACTGACACTCAGACACTAAATCAGGAGCAACGGGGAAATAGTTCAACATGATGTTGAACAGTTTCATACAAATGCTTGAAAATATAAAGTTTGGTTGCATAAACAAACACCAAGCTGGTTCCCTGGGGTCTATATAGAGGCCTTCATCGCTCGACTTGTGGCCTCTGTGCAAGTCTCCTGAGGTGCACTAGTCTGCTGCCACCTGGTGTTTTCGTCTACGATGTTCACCATCTCCTCTGGTGGAGGTTGAGACCAGTGGTTTTCCCTACAAGACAGCTTTGTGGTCTAAAAACACCCCATGTGCTGAACCACGCATGCTTTTTGCCAATTACTGTTTAACACCTGTAAAGTCAGACACCTGCAGCTCAAAGAGAAACCACAGGTCACACGTAGTCGGCTGTGGCTTGTTCTCCATCTCTACAAACAGCCTCTGTAACTCACTCAGCTCCTCTCGGTGTCGTTCTGTCTGGGCGAAGTACTGCCGGAGCTCCTCGCTGATCTCCATGTTGCTGACGTCACACTCGATCTCGCTGTCCGAGCTGCTCTCCTCGTCGCCGTCTTCTCCGTCCTCACTCTCTCCTTCGTTCCAGTCCGCGTAGCGCTGCTGGCTGCCGGGATGCTGCTCCTGGCGGTAGCTCGGTCCGTATGCAGCCTCCAGGGCCTTCATGTAGGCCCGCCTGTGTCTCTGGTTCCAGGACATGGCCTGCTGGTAGTGCTGCCAGTAGCGGCTGTACACGGGGCTGGAAAACCAGGACATCACGGTGTTGATGTCCTCCTGCTGACGAGAGCAGAGTTTGTGCTGAGTTTCATGTTATTCAAACACTTCATTACTTTTCTATGAGTGCAAATGACATGAACCGAAGACAGCTGAAGGAAAACATGTGAAGAGAGGAGTCACACAGCTTTAACGCCCTGAACCCCAAAACCTGCTGGCATGTTTAAAATGCATATTAACTTTAAGTCTAAAGAAAAGACAAAACAGGAAAAAATATACCATCAAATGGAGTCGGCAGCTGCAAAAACAGAAGAAACTGAGCTTGAAATTGAGATTCTACGTCTCATTTAAAAATCCTCCAGAAATAAGCTGATTGGACTAAACAGATTCTGTAAAAAACAAAAAATTATCCACTAACTCGTCCAACAGTGAAGCTATCAGTGACTCAACTGTGACCAACAGTCATGTGACAAAAATTCAGAGATTTTTCTGCTGAACCGCCGACTGTTATCACACAGAGCAGAGAACCACAAGTGTAGAAGAAAATACTACAATTTAAGCAGCAAAATACAGCATGTGGAGTCACAGTTATCTTCTATCCTTGCATCGGTGACACCTGTAGGCACTTGGAAAAACTTTATTCATGTTCATTACAGGGTTTTTTTGGTTTTTAATTGTAATAATAATACTAATAATACTAATAATAATAACAATAATAATAATAAGGAGTCCAGATGGTTAGGTAGGAAAATAGCTTCCATCTTTAAAAAATATTTTATTTTTATTTCTTTTAATTACCAAAATAACATTTACCAGAGCTAGAGACACTAAAAACAGAAAGACTTGTTGGATTTTCAGCCTTTTGTCTGACTATTAATCTGTAACTTGCTGTTCAGTCACATCCGACCAAATCCAAGCTTGAAATTCTGACATTCATCCAAAATCACATTATTCTCTTTTAAAAATAAACCACTTGCTCAAACATGATTCTGTAAAAAACAGAAAATTTTGCACTCGTCGGTCCATCTGTGAAGCCATCAGTGACTCAGCTGTGACCAACAGTGACATAACAAAAATTCAGACACTTTGGGCTGAACTGAGGCCGTGTTTCACAGGAGACCAGTAAGAAAACAAATAAAAAATGTCAGTAGGAAAATATTTATAATATATGGAGTCACCATTTATTTATTCTAGTGTTGTAATCAACTGAGGGTAGGTGGAAAAATAATGTGCAATTGTTTTATTTTTTTGTAAATTAAATCATGCAAGAAATTCAACTTACAAAAAAAAAAAAAAAAAAAAGATTTATGGCATCTGCCTGTGTCATACTGCACAGAAGATGTTCATGTGCAGGACTTGATATTGCAGTAAAATGAGCCCACAGTGAGTAACAACAGGAGGATGTGCTGCTCTTCTCTGCTGCTACAAAATAAAGTCCTGACTGGTGCCGTTTTCTTACCATGACTGGAGACGGACGCAGCCCAGCGGGTCTCTTCTATCCGCTACAAACCTGCACCTTACGGACACAGATGCAGATAAAGTGACTGACAGAGTCAGTTAAAGTTAATCAGATAAAACCAGCAGGTGAAGAAAGCACAACATGGACGCGACATTTTTCACCAGAATAAAACACACGAAGCGACTGATCTCATGTTTCACACACTCACGTAAACACACGCTGAATATCTTCCACTACAACACATTTACCTGTTAGCTGCTAGCTGTTAGCCGGTTAGCGGCTCATGCTACTTCCGGTGAGCTCGTTTCCCAGCATCCTTTGAGGCACAGCAACAGCGCCGCCGGCTGCGTGGCGCCCTCCAGTGGACACTGCGCAGGCGCGCAGCGAGCTTCAAGTAAGTCGACAGAGAACTTTTAAAATGACATTTTTCGAGGTATTTGCTCCTCAAAAAGCCACAAAGGTTATGCAGCTTAACTGAAATGAATCTCTACTATTGTTTTATATTTTTCTCTTTCAACTCCAAGCAATTTATGGGTGTTTTTTTGTTGTTTTATTTTGCTCCTGTCTCATTTTTCACCACCGTCGGCTCATTTTTCATTCTCTATGGAAACAGAACAATCATGACTGGAATTAGAATGAACTCACAAATGTCTTGTGTAAAGCAAAACAAGGTTATGATGCCATGAATCATTTAAAAAAAATAGCAATGTTGAATCTCCTGTGGTTATTTATTTTACAAAAATTGAAACAAAAACCCAAACACACATGAAATCAACATGTACAGCATTTTTGGAAATGGCAGTTCAGCCAAAAAGTCCCTGAATTTTTGGTATATGATTGTTTTTTTCAGCTGGGTCATGAATGGCTTCATACTTGCATCATGAATTGCAATTTTTAAAATGTATGTATTTATGATTATACATATTTATAACATTATAATACTTGTATAAGATAATGTAATATTGTTATTGTTTTTTAAAGAGTCTGTTCAGTAACAAAATGTTAATTTTCAGCAGTTTGGAGGAACTGGCTGTGGCTATGTGGCCTCCAAGCTTCAGCCGTTGCAGCTCAAAAATGAATCCAATGCAAAAGCTCCAAAAGCTGCTGCAGTTCCTTGAATGGCCACTTGAGGCTTCTTTCAAAAGTGAGTCAATCCTCATAGACCTCCATGTTATAAAGTCCAACTTTATAGCAGAAATAAACAAGTTTACAGCCTGATACGAAGACTAGTTTTGGTCTCTACAGCTAATTTACCTCTTAAGGATAACTGTACAGAGGGTGAAATGTTATGACCCACCCAGTTAATTTGTGTTAAGGCTTAAAGTTGTGCATAGTTAAAGTTGTAATGTTGCAGTTCTAATGACACTTTGACAAGCGAAAACTTTTATTCTAGATATCTACAACGCAACTCTGACAAGTCAAAACTACAGTTAGCGATATCTGTAACCTCAGCTTGGACTAGTCAATGTAGTAGTTGCAGATATCTCCATTAAGAAGTCTGAATCTTCATGCACAACGCTGCATTTGAACAGTTTGAACAGGAGTATTGATGGCAGGAAATTCTGTGAGATCAGAAGAACACGCCGGCTGGATGCTTGTGGAGAACAAGAGCTTCAGTCATCAGAGGTTTGTGGTTGACACTTATGAGAACCTTGACCTCAGGCTGCTCTGACATGGAGGCAAACAGCTCGTTTTGTTCAGTTGTGGTTTCAGTGCATTTGAAAAGAAAGCCACCTCCGACTTATTGTAGCTCCTGATGTCATCACAGATACACATCGACAATATCATTTTGAATATTTAAAACTTAATTTAATACATCTGAGGCTATTGTTTTCCTTCATTTAATGCACTTTGTTAATATAGAATTTATTAATTTTTACTATTTTGGCCTAAACTGTTGCTTTAAAAGCAAAATTTCACAAACAGTGAAGTTCAGATTTGACTCGAGCTATAAAAAATAAAAAAAATCCTAAAAATGTTGCATTACCCGATAAAGGACGTCGTCTTATTTTTAGGGAGCGGGTGTAAAACAGAGCGGTTTGAGTGTTTGAGCGCTGGGAGACGTGTTTGACTGTCTAACTGGGTCACGCTTTGGCTTGAGGCTTCAAAGCTTTCAGCGGAAATGCAAAAAGACAGATGTGTCTTTTCAAAACACATTTCCTCCTGCGTTGTGTGAATGGATAACACAATAAAATCAGCTGGTGTAGCTTCAATTCTTTGATGTTGTGGTATTTTTGACACAGTATTTCCCATAAAGATGTTGTTATACTCAGTGAAATGTGGATTTTGGATGTTATATTTTAGTATTTATACAGATAGAATGATGGTGACGGAAATGCTTTACTTATATTATCCCATAATATGTAAAAGCGCATGTGTGTTATGATGTTTCTTGTTTTTTGTTGTGCACAGTGCAGATATGATTAATGTTATATTAAAATTTGTTTGGACAAAATGCAAAAAGTGTGAAGTTACGCACAATTAATGTGAAGTTTGTGATTAATGATTCATAAGATAAGATAAAATAAAACTGTTGTATTCTCAAAAGGAAATTCTACGACTAGATATTGTGGAAAAATATAATAAAATGACATAAAATGTGAATAAATGCCTAATAAAGAAGCAATAAGATAAATGCTAACATAAGATGAGAATAGAAAAGTAAGATGTAATACTGGCAGTGATGCTGAAGCAGTAATTTTGCATATAATAATTAAATACTGCACATAACCATCTGACACCCAGAGTATCGATACACAAAGATGCTTTTAACCTCAATACAACAACCTGGATGCCATTAAAATGAGGTCATGCAGTTCGATTGTGTCTCTTTCTCCCTCTGCTGGCAGGTCTCATCATGATTCTGTCATTTGTTGTAGGTACAAACCTTTAAACCGCATTAATTTGGCTCTTTGAGGAAGTAAACTCCAACCTAACCCTGACCAAAGACGAAAATTAGGGATGTTTTTGATTAGTTCCTGATTTGAAATGGTCTCTGTGCCACAGATTAACTGGAACAATCCTCCACATGACCACTACTCACACTGCATAAAAGAATCCAGCTGTATAACTAGTTATGTTCATTAAAGGTAGTTCACCAACAACACGAGTTGTTAAACAAAATATCAGTATCTATTGTACATTTTTATTCTTGGCATTTAGATCCTGCTCTGATCTGGAGCTACATAATAAACTTTGCAGCAGATTAAACATAAATTGTTAAGTTTTAGTAAAAGTTTAACACAAATTGGGGTAATAGTTGGGTTTTATACATGTTTAAATGTGCTAAACTGCAAGAAGGTGGTTGTTTTTGAGATGTATTCTTCAGTTATTACCTATTTTAATGCTTAGGCCAACTGAAGATGATAATTTTGACCTTCTTTGCAGGCATTACTGTCTGCTGTATCGCTATGAAGTCATATGAACAGTTTGTCCATTAGCAAGGACAAGCAATGAGTCTTTTAAGATAACCACTGGATGTACATGTGCCATTGTTTGTTGGTAGTTGTTTCTTGGATCTCTTTCCTTCTTCTTCTCTGGTGGTGGAGGTCAATCACAGACAGCTGCAGCTATCAGCTCACCTGAACCTAATCACCACAGCTTCCTTTAACAATCAGCTCTTCCCTTCCATTCACTGGTTTCACAGCCGTGTGTCAGCCAGCTTCCAGCCTGCATTCCCCCAGCCAGCCAGCCGGCCAGCCAGCCAGCCAGCCTTCTCCTGCTACTGTCCCCAACCAGCTTCCAGCCTGCATTCCCCAAAGCCTGCCTGCCCTTTCTCCCCGCTGTAGTTTCAGTTCTGGTTTCTGTGAGTATTTCCGTTTTTATTTTCTTCTGTATTTTTCCATAGTTTGTTTTTAGTATTTTCCCAGTTAGTTCCCTTTGAGTTCAGTTACTATTTCGCGCCTGTTTTTGTTTTATTTATATTAAATAAAACCCGTGTTACCTGGAATCTGTCCCTACCTGTGTGTCTGCACTTGGGTCCAAACCTGATTCGTGACCTGCGTCTCATCAACAATCAGCCCCTGTGCGCCCACAAACTGTCCAGTCTGTGTGTTTACCTGCCTGTTTGTCCACCTGTGCTCCCTGCCTGAGGTTTCCTGAGCTCTTTCTGCTCATCTGGTTTGTGTGATTAGTTTGTTGCAAGCGCACATTATTTTTCCATTGACTCCCTTTTTGACTTTTTGTCTCAGTTGTAGTTCTAAAAACCCGTCTTTTCCTTTTTGAAACCTGCCTCCTGTGTCTGTTTGGCTCCTCTATTGTTAACTAAGTTCACGTGGAGGAGGTTTTTGATGATCAGAAGTAAGGAGAAGTTGTGGGAAATGTGAGGTTTCCTATCGACACTAACAAGGTTTCGGTGTAGGTTCCCAGCCAGGTTGTGAAAAACGTCTTTGCATCCATGTCTGTATTTACAGTCGTCCTCAGATGTATTCACAGCTTTCCATTAAAGAAGGAAAAAAAACAAGTGTTACTGGAATAAGCTGAAGTTGACAAAAGTAATACAAAATAAAAATTAAATGAAAATCATAACGTTGCTTTTGAATTGTGGTTCAACAGAAATATTTTTAAAAAACAATCATGATGGGACCCATAAACTAACACTTTGTTGAACAACCCTTTGAGCCAATCACTGCCATCAGGTGTTTTCTGTAACGCCATCAGACTTCTGCACCTGTTGACAGGTGTTTAGATTTCACTGCTCATCAGCAAAGTGCTCTAATTTGACAGTTTAAAAAAAAGATCTTTTCAACCGTAATTCAAAAGCAATGTCTTATTTCACTAAATTATAATTTAGCAAATTTTTATTTATCATTACTTTCTTCAGTTTCTATTTATTTGAGTGACTATTGTGAATTTTGCCTTTTCTTTAATGGAAGGAGATGAAGACAGCAGGACACAATTACTAGTGTAACAACCTTTTATTGGTGACTTTTAAAAAATGTATTTAACACAACACCATTTCCCCTTTTTTATGTATTGTTTATTCGACGTTCTAAGAAATAAATCCTGTTTTCTTTGGTGTAAAATACGACGTTTTCCACTTTTTGATGGTAGAAAAACTGCAAATGTTAACTAACTCTGTTGCATTTTCAAGTCTCTAAACTGTTCCAAGTGTTGTAGTTCATTGCATCCTCTTAACTTAAACAACAACTACATCAGCTGATAATAATGCAAATCCAAATTCCAGTTGTCAACAAAAGCCCACCTGTATTATGAACACCAGTTTCATAAATATAAAGTCCTACAGCTGTTAAAACACACATTTCTCAGAGTGTTTGGATCCTGCCGCCATTATGTACATCTCACTGGTATAAATTGCTAATAATTTGAAGTAAAAAGCTACTAACTTAAACTACCTACATCGGTTATCTCTCCTAAAGTTACAAATCATTGAATATGCATGAAACAAACAAATGAATACTGTCTGAGACGATAAACTCAATTAGAAAACCATACATATATTTTCACGGATGTTTGATGTCACTCCCAAACAGGCTGTTGTGCGATAAACAGTTTGCAGGAGGATACTAAGTGTTGTTCAGGTTCCAGACCTTTGAATCTGACTGAGCTTGTCAGTAATTTTGTCTGATATTGGGACAAATAAGTGTCCTCTTGAGTGCAGGAGTCAAAGGTGAGATCTGAGTGGTTCGTCTTTTCCCATCAGGATGAATGTGACGCTCCTGTCTAAAAGTAGAAGCAGTCACATTCACTTCTGCTTTTTAGAGAAATTCCCATCAGCTTAAACAATACCTGAACAAAGGCGGAGTTTCAGGTTTGAGGAGGCGGTAAATGAACATCAAGCATCAGTCTTCTCATCAATACAGCACAGTGTCGTCTGCATACAAGCTTCAGTTTGGATCAGTATGGACGGATGGAAGCAGTGGTTTGTTCTGCTCCTGCCAGTGTGTTTGTGTGCTGACAGCAAAGGTACTGTACACCACCTATTTTACTGTGTTGTCATTTCATGATTGGAAATGTTTCACAGCTAAAATGTTCCTTTCAACTGCAGTGACTGTGATTAAAACCACCGGGAGAGGACCGGACGTCACTTCAGTGTGCATCAGGGGAAACATTTTGTTTGCAATGTGTACGATCAACACAGGAAGACACCGGCAAGAAAACTGCTGCCAGCTACACACAGATGTCAAGCACTCTGACTGTGAATGCGACTCCAGGTTCAAGCTGATGAACAAGAGTCCCAACGTGTTTCTGTACCTGACCGATTTAACAGCCGCCGACAGTGGAAACTACTCCTGTGAGTGTTCGTACGAAAGAGGAACGGACGTTTTCCACCTCAGCATCCTTGTGGAATGTAAGTTTGCCTGCAAACATGTAAGTTTTTCCAAAAGATGAACCGATATTCCAACATATCGAGGATGATGTATGATTGTCCCCTTTTCGCTGAGCAGATGGCGAGGACTGCGCTTTTTCCGGCATGACGTTCATGGCTGCGGTCGTCCTCATCGGCGTCGTCATCAGTGCGGCTGGAATAATCTGTGGTCACATCCTGAGTAGAAAACATCACAGGTAAAAAAAAATAACTTTGTGTAACTGTAGCATGTAGTAGAACAAAATACACGAGTAAAAATCACTGACAGAAAAGTCTGAGAAAAGGAGAACTAACTCCAGAATGCTCTCAGTTGTGGACATACGAGTGATATTCAAGGGATGCAAGGTGGATCGGTGGTTAGCACCGTAGCCTCGCAGCAAGAAGGTCGCTGGTTCACGTCCCAGTGAGGACACCCAGGATCTTTCTGCGTGGAGTCTCCATGTTCTCCCCGTGCAACGTGGGTTCTCTCCGGGTTCTCCGGCTTCCTCCCACAGTCCAGAAACATGTTTAGGTTAATTGGTGATTCTAAATTATCCATAGGTGAATGTGAGTGTGCTTGGTTGTCTGTCTCTAAGTGTAGCCCTGTGATAGACTGGTTACCTGTCCAGGTGAACCTGCCTTCACCCTGAGTCGGCTGGGATAGACTCCAGCCCCCCATGACCCTAATGAGGATTAAGCGGTGTATAGATAATGGATGGATGGATGTATGGATGGAGTTCTGTTCAACTGCATGTCTGCATCATGGCAGAAAAAAGGTGTAGAAAATCATGTGGGAAGAATCTATAGTAATAATGCTGTAATTAAAGCACTACCTTCTGTTTATTAATAGCAGTATTTATACCCTGAATTATTGGATTTAATGTTTTCCTGCTGGAATAACAATTTAGATATGGTGGCTGTGGCTCAGGTGGTAGAGCAGGTTGTCCTCTAATCACAAGGTTGGTGCCCTCCAAAGTCAAGACACTGAACCTGAAGTTGCTCCCAGTGGCAGGCAGCACCTTGCATGGCAGCTCTGTCACCATTGGTGTATGAATGTGATCGACTCTCAGATGTACGTCGCTTTAAATAAAAGCGTCTGCTAAATAAAATTTAAACTGTAGATTCACCATATTGAAAATAAAGGCTCCACAGTTCAAATTTCATGTTTTTGGTGACAGACTTCCTGGCATGGAGGACACTAACTTCCTCCAACTAACTCTCTCATTCATTCACTGTTAACAGAGAAAACACATCAGGAGCAGCTGAGTCAGCCACATCTGAAACCCTCCAGTCTTTGGTGAGTTCTTCACTTCTTCACGAGTTCTGCTTTAAACTCTGTCAGTGAATGTAGGTTATTTTTAAACACTGCATATCGTTACATGAAGCCATGACGTTATATGTTGTTTGGTTTTGGTAGGACCAGGACGACACCTACGCAAGCCTTCAGGGTCCAGAAAGAGACGCCTACCAGTCTGTCTCC